TACAGCCGAAATACTGCTCAAATCCCGCTAGATCATTGTTCCTTTGGCGCCATTCCGAGATTTGCTTGCCTCGACGTCGCTGCACTTGGTCTATAAAAGGGAGATGAGAGTGAGGCTTTGGTGTTGCTCTTCCATTTCTGACATCTCCACACGCGAAGCCCCTCTATTCTTCTTCTCCGCCGTTCAAGCCTCTGATCCTCCCCTCTCATCACCGATCGCAAGACCCAGGCCAAACCGCAAGCTCCAACTGATCTTTCCTTGTCCCGATCCCCACTCCACCTTCCAATCTATTTAAGCAGAGAGAGAGAGAGAGAGGAAGAAGAAGAATAAGAAGAAGAAGAAGCTCTCCTACCTAGCCAACTCCTCTTGCTCTAGCCTTCTCTGCCTAGCCTAACATCCGCCGAACTCCTCTATAGGTAGCCTTTGCCCGATCTCCTCTCTACTCGCCTCTTGTAGCCGAGCTCTCCGAGCCCTCTATACCCGAACCAGAGCCCAAGTTCTCTGCTCGATCTCCACAAAGTATATATTAGGTTAATTTTTGTATTAACTTTAGTGTGTATGTGTTTTTGTGAGAGAGTAAAAAAAAAGAGAGAAAAAAAAAGCAAAAAAAAAGAGATACAAAAAGGGGAGAATGTACAAAAAAAGAAAATGAGTGGTGATCTTTGTGCATTTCGTTGTCATCATCGGCCTGGCCGCAAAGGTATAAACTTTTCTAACCTTAAATCCTTCTCTCGTGGCTTGCAACGGGCCGGCAAACCCCTACGCTTTCATGTAGCGTAGTAGGAGGGAAACCGGTGCGGCGCTTGCGACGACTTCAAATCCTTCTTCAATGCTAGTGACGAGCTGGCAAACCCCCTATACGCTTACGTAGCGTAGTAGGGAGGGAAACCGGTGCGGCACTTGGGGCGAGGGGGATATATATATATGTATGTATATATATATATATGTATATGTATATATATCTGTATGTATGTATATGTATATATATCTGTATGTATGTATAATAAGTAACTCCGAACGCTCGCGTAGTGCAGAGGGGGGAAATAAATTGTTCTTTTAAATTGTGCTCAGAACCCTTAAATGCTCATGTAGCGTGCGGGGATAAAATAAAAAATATATGCAACCGCGGTGTCATTTGACACCTATCTGAAGCGCTCACGTAGCGTCGAGGGGAAGGCTGCCTCTTGGTTTTTCTCCTAAATGGGGAGACGCCGAAAGGTTGCCGAATTTTTTTCTGAAATAAGACAAGGACTTGAACAGAAAGTGGACTTGGACTTGAGCTTAAACATTGATATTAAATGAACTAAAACTAAGACTTGTACTTGAATATGAATTCGGAAAAAGCTGAAGTGAACTTGAATGTGGACCGAAGCTAACAAGAACAAGGGATGAAATTGAACTCTACTTGAACTCAAATGAGTTGAACAAAGAACTAGAACTTGAACTCATCTTGGATATGAAACAGAACTTGCAATTTGACTACAATGACCCGGACTTTGAATGTTAAATGTTTAAATCAAACAAAAAGAGTATAAATGCTAATTAAGACTTTGAATAATCCAAATGGACATCAATAATCAAATAGAGGACTTATAGAATTCAACATAACTTGAAGCATATTTGCAAGTAAGGATCGAATGAGAAATGACATTGATATACACTTGAGTTTGAATGATTGAATTTGGACTTTATGAAATTTCATTTGAGCAACAACACAATCAAATTTCATGACATAATGTGATGCTCTCAAGGGATAACACAACTTGCTTGCAAATAGAGATCAACAAGATCTCTTCCTATAAGTTATGGCATGAAATCTCCAACGAACGTCAAAGATCCATCATGAATTCAAAATCAAATGCAAATGTCATCAAGCCGGCTCATCATACAAGATTTAAGTCGCTTCATATGATAGTGGAAGACTTGTAACATTCAATATGGCTCTCTATATGCAAATAATTATGCTCATCTGTTACGAACACAAGAGAAAAATGAAGTTAAATATATTGAACCTTACAAATAGAGGCGATTTGATATGCAACAAGTGCAAAGGAATATGAGCATACAAACTCCTATGAGCTATTGTAAAAGATCCGTTGCACACCCAATGCGTTTTCCACAAGCAAACCTGAAGGAATTCTAAATATGCTTACAATCAGTAGCATGGAGTTTCCTACAATGAACATAGTGATGTGTATGTTGAACGTGAACATTCACAAATGAACGTAGTGAATCTTTACAAATGAAGAAAATCCATGTGCAGTAAATGAGCAGAACATTTCATAAAGACATGTAGAAAAGCTATGATAAGTGCAACAAGTCCTTTGAGATGAGGTATCATCTAGTCGCAAGCAAAGTCACAAGCAAGGATTGTGGATCACATAGAAGCGATAACGATCAGTTGTGATGTTTATATCAATCATATGGAAGAGATGGTTGTCCAATAGCAGAACACACTGAAGGAAACTATGAAGAATATGATGGGTATTAGTTAGCTCGTATCTAATGATGACTAGTTCATGACTAAAGAAGGCTAGTATGCTAACAAGTTTAGTGACCCGCTCGTAGTTAGTGATGATAGATACATGCAATAATAGTGGTCTTTCTCCAATATGGATGCAACAATTTATTTGCAAATAAAGACGAAAGATACATAACAAATGCAAATACATATGAGCCCTTACAGGAGAACCATTATATGCACCATATGTTATATATGGACAAATTCAAAAGGATTACAGCAAAATGCAAGCTCTTATGACCCAAGAAGCAGGAGATTCGTTAGTACACTATGATCCAACTGCAGAAAGTAATAAGTAGTGCACGATAGTCTACCTGTATAATGCAGAGAACAAGTTAATTCAAAGTTGCTACGACATGCCACCAGATCTGCAACCTTCGTACAAGCAGACAGAAGACGTTTACAAATATTATCAAAATACCCCCACATGTGCACCGTAGTATACACATAGGTACACAAAAGGGATAAATGCAATTATACAACCTGCATAGGCCCCGACGAGCATGTTGTAGGAACACACGTGACGTCTAGGGACGTTGCGCGGGTCAATAAATTTGAACCCGATCCTCCCGAGCAAGTAAATAGGAGTCGACAAGGTTCAACAATCAATTATAAAATGCACCCAAAAACCCGCATGGTCCCCGGTAAGCATGTTATGAGTAGACACGTGACGTCTAGAGATGTTGCGCGGGTCAATAAGTGAATTCAAGTTCGAATATGATCCTTCTATGCGGATCAATAGGAGTCGAAAGGGTTCGAACCATCAAATAAATATACAGTTGTGTCAACCGATATATTTGTTTAATACATTCATATTAGACCTTCAAGGTCTATAATTAAGAAAATTCACTAAAAACCTACGAGAAACCCGATCTTCAGTCAACAGCTCGGCTGAGTCGATAAGATTCAATCAATAAATACTTTCAAATGACTTCTTTCACTCCAATGATGGCCGTGTTGAATGTTTATCTCAACCGGAGGGGTTCACAAACATTTTTAAAAGTCTCTCAAATATCCAAATGCCTATCATTGTCCAAAACTCCATAGAAACTCTAAAATTCCAAAATTCAAATATTTAAAATTGAAATTCAATCATCAACCACTTAAAGAAAAATACATTCACCCTCCGCAACAGTTTGCCGTGGTGAACAAATTGAAATTTACTTCAGCTCACATAGAGCTAATGCCTGGTTGAAAATATCACTAGGATCCATTCTCAAACAATCTCCTGCCAGTAACGACTTGGTATGTGTCCTCTGACCGGCGGTTTTGCCCCAAATGACACCGTAGGATAAACGGTTATGACCTGGGGCCCTCTGAACTGAGTAGTTTTGCAGCCAAAATGGCACCACGAAATACCGGTTATGGCTAGAGCCAATACGCTCTTTAGTGGCATCAAATCCTTGAGATATGAATTAATAGGATATGATCGATAGGGCACAAAGCCCTCTGTTAGCTAAGATGGATTCAAATTTGTCCCCTTAGGCAAACATCCAACCCAGGTCTACAAGGTACCCTTGGACGAAACAGCCCATGGCTTCCGACAGGAATTTTTCTGTCAGGCTGGGTCAACTACCTTCTCTGACTAAGTAGACTAGGGACCATGATGGCCCGGGACGACGGAACCATGGGATCTTGATCGGATTTATCATCCATTCCCCCACCATCCGCTTTAAGTGCATAATGGTGCAATTTCTATTTTAAATATCAATTTTCTAAATCTCCAAACTCTTCAAATATCTATGCTTATGCTGCTACTATATGCCATATAACACGTATATTCTACGTATCTGATTGATGACTAGCCTTAATCGAAAGTTCTCTCTCGTGATCGAGAGGGGTAATTAACTATAGGGGCTTGCGCCTATAGGAAACTAGAACTCTGATCATAAAGTCCTCACAAAATGAGGTGGGTAGTGTCTTATCTACAAATCCATCGACCTTCCAAAATTTACCCCGGAACTTAATCCGTTAAAACTCCCTCGCCGAATAATAGAGTGATCAGCGGGCGGAGGCCGTGGCCGAATTTTCGGAGCCCACAGCCATAAGCCTTCCAACCTTTGCTACCACCCCAAATCTCCTTTCAGAAAATATTATGCTAATGTCAATAAAAACTCTGGGCGTGCAACTGTTATATTCCCATTAACTAATTTACTGTATGATGCATCCAAGAAACAATTACTAGTTTTTGAAATTCATAATTTTTTTTATTTCCATTGCTTATATGTTGACAAAAACTCGAGCATTAGATTATGAAAACTGAAAAATATTATCCTTCTTTTCAAATGATCAAAATTATTGAAATTTTAATACAAAATTTCTCTCCCTCTTTTACCATATTGTCAAATACGTATTGGTTTGCCCAAAGAGTAGAATGCAAAAGCTTTATTCATGCATATAAATTTGTGTTTTTGCAATATGCAGAATTGTTTAAATCATTGTATGGTGAAAACTTACTTGTCGGATTTGATTTCTGTAGTTGTATGGAATCCATGGGAGAAGAAATCCAAGTCCATGTTAGATCTTGGGGACGATGAATACAAACAAATGCTTTGTGTTGATGCTGCAGCTATTGAAAGGCCAATAACCTTAAAAACAGGTGAAGAATGGACGGGAAGATTGGAAATCTCGGCTGTTCCTTCCAGCTATTGCAGTGATCATTTTGATCAGCTCCTTCAGGGAGTCATGTGAGAGAGAGATAGGGAAAAGGCATTTGCATCTTTAGTGTGTAAAAGAGGACAATGGTTTCTTAATGAGGTTTAGAAGCTTTGGTTTTTTTCTTAGTGGAAGCTTCTAAAGCATTTATTTGTTTGTTAGAAAGCAAACAGACGTGGTTTTTATAGCTCTAAAACACGTAGGATTGCATTGCAGCGATGTGTTATTGTTGTATTGTGCGTTGCTATAGGAAATGAAGTTATATGGGCGATTTGATCTGCAAGTGACTTATCGAAAGTATTCCTAAATGGATCCCGTTTGAAGCAAATCATTCTGACAAGATATTTGCCTAGGAGTTGGGATTCTTCATCTCTGTTTCTTACAACGTGCGTAAAATAAATATTTGACATTCCGTCGAGGCAAATTATTGAAGAAAACAAATTTTGTATATTTTTGCATTAAAAGTGGAAGACAAATAATCAAAAGAGAAATATTTGATCCGAATTCAAGGCAATATATATTTTTTAAATTAGGATAAAATAATGAAATTTAGCGTCATTTTATAGTACAAATAGTTATCGTGCATATCAGATATTATTCTGTTTTAAGCATTTCATTCCTGGCGTTCAAAGCGTTCAGGAGATCGTTTATTTACTCACAAGTTTAAAACTTTTATACTGCCGTTGCATATGGGACATCTTAATGAGCTCATCATTTCTTTTTTGGAGGATGTTTGATTATTTTGATGTTATCAAACTTGATATATTTCTTGCATTAAGGTACTGCGAAAAATTAGTAGAATTAATTTAATAATATAATAAAATGCATGTAAAGGAAAATCTCACTTTTTTTTTTAAATCTCTGAAAAATTGATTAGTTACTCGTTATATTAAGAGTTGATGTCATCCGATATTGATTTGATCAGCAAAAATCTCAATGCATGGAGAAATGAAAACTTCTAAATTTATTTCAGGATAAAAAAATATTATTTTTTAACAATTTTATAATTGAATTAAATGTCTTCATGTGATGAATTCTAAGAGCCTAAAATCAACTAGTTTTGACATCATTAAGGAACTTAAATGCTTAACAAAACAATTTATGTTCTAGAGATTTAATATGATTGGTTTGATGAAATGTTCTAAATGTTGTTAATATTTATGGGGTAAGCCACTATCAAAAATCTAAAATAGGTTCCACTCTCTACATTAAGGAGAATTGGACATTGGCTTGAGAATTAAGTGTGCTTAAAGGTTTGAAGAATCTCAAACCATGATCATCGAACCATTACTTGATCGGCATCATCTAATCACAACTCGATCATTTCCTTCAGACCACAGTTTGATTATTGTCGTTGGACCTCAGCCATGTGACCAATATCACTCCATTATAGTCCAATCATCATTACCTGATAAGATCCATCAACCATGAATGTCTGACAACAGTCCACTGACAACAATCGTCTTACTATTATCCTCCAACTACCATTTCCACACTACAGTTATCCAGCTACCCTTCCCATGACTACGATTCTCTTACCACCATCACCTAACCACAATCCTCTAAAAATTATTACTTGATTATGATTCTTAGACCACAGTTGCTCCTAACAACAATCCTCCAACCACTGTCCATAACTACAGTTGTCTCAAAACCATCCTTGACTACAGTCCTCCAAAAAGTGTTGCACAACTATGACCCTCCAACCACCTCACCATGGGCTCTAAAAATTTGTGCCTCAGCCACTCCGTGGCCCCTTTCTCTTTTTCGGGTCGTCGAGGAGACTTAACATTTAAGTTCAGAGACAAATTTTCAGAAGGAAAACTGGGCTTTAGATAAGATATTACCTAGAAATTTCTCCCTCATTTTGCGAGGACTATATAATATGAGTTCAGGTTTCCTATAGGCACAAGCCCTTATAGTTAATTACCCCTTTCGATAGTGAGTGAAAACTTTCGATAAAGGCTAGTCGTCAAATAAATACATAGTACCTGGTGTCTAGTAGTAGTAGAATTTAAGTATTTGGAAATTTAATGGATACGATTAGAAATTTTCTACCTTAAACTTAAAGTAGATTGTGGGGGGAGTGATGATAAACTCGATCAAGATCCCATGGTTTCATCATCACGGCTCATCATAGTCCACGGTCTACTTAGTTAAAGGAGATAGTCAACCCAACTTGATAGAAGGATCCTTGTTGGTATCCATGGGTTGCTTTCTCCAAGGGTACCTTGTAGAGTTGAGGTAAATATTTGTCTAAGGGGAAAAAATTGGATCCACCTTAGCTAATAGAGGTATTTATACCTTATCGACCATATCCCATTGATTCATTACTCAAGAATTTAATGTCGTTAAGGAACATATAGGCTCTAACAATGACAGTAATTTAATGGTGCCATTTGGCGGCAAAATCATCCGGTTATAGGATCACGGTCATAACGGTTTACCTGTGGTTCCATTTGGCGTTGAAACCACCGATTAGAGGTCACTTGCCACTTCCTTACTGGTAGGAGACAGATTCAGGATGTTTCCTAGTGATATAAAGTGACTTTCATATTTTTCAATCTCGTTAAATTATTGCAAAGGGAGTATGAGTGTTTTGCTTCAAGTATTTTGGTATTTTTTTTATCAATTTTAAATATTTCTATTAGTGAATGTATTTAATGAGAATTTTGGGGCATTTTGAATATTTGGCATCCCCTACTTTTAAGATTTTTGTCATCGCAGTTATCATTTTTGTCATCCCCTACTTATGGAAAATTTCATTTTATAGGTCGAACCTTTTCATCTCTGTCTTCTTGTCGATAGAGGATCAAACGGTCGTCGGCTTTATATCTTTATTAGCAAATTTTCCTTGTTATAGATCTTTAGGCCTAATATGAACATATAAAATAAATATCTTAGTTGACATCGTGTTCGTATATTTGTTTGACATTTTAAGTTGTGTCAACAACTATATATTCACATAGAAGGATTAGACTTGAATTTAAGTTTATTTCTTGACCCAACTATATATTCACATAGAAGGATTATACTTGAATTTGTATATTCACATCGAAGGATTAGACTTGAACTATATATTCACATAGATGGTTTGACATTTATATTCACATAAAAATCAGCTAACTTATTATAATTCTTATTAGAGAATAGAAACAACACTTGATTAAAATCATTATGAAAAACTAAATCATTTTCCTTTAAGATTTCCTTATTGACTTCTTCCTTATTCAACATACTCTGAAAATTTTTTATAGCATTATAGTTATCACCTTCTATAATGATACCTTTAGCCTCAAACATCCATTCTTGTAGAAAACTACTCAAAGATAGAATAGATGTTAGTTCCAATTGTGAACTATCCCAATGAAGAAAGCTAAACCCAAAAGCACATTAGAACCTTCCTTTACAATCTCTAAACATGCCACCTATGCCTGCTTTGTTTGTACTCAATAAGGAAGCATCAACATTGACCTTAATCCATTTGGGAGGAGGAGGGTGCCAAGAAGAATAGGACAGGTGACACAGCTGATTTGCACCTCAGTTCTCCCAAATCAGATGAGATCAAAAAGAAGAAACAACCAAACTGATAGAATTAGTCATTATGAATGTCGAGTTATCATCTAATCCACCTTGATAAATCTTGTTTATGCTTTTCCAGCAAAAGAAGACAACTGAATAATCAAATTCCCAGTATAAGGATCAAAAGTTGCAAGATGTTCCAGAGCGTTATTACACTCTTCAAGAGAATCAAAAATCGAAAAACAAAAGCCCCATTTATCGAGAAAAAAAAAACACTTGAGAAAGCTTCATACACTTAACTGCAATATATTCAGAATCTTCAGTAGCTTTACAACCTCTTGAACATCCATTAAACTCCATTAACCTCCTATACATCATAAAATAATTTGAGGGGATAACATTAATGTTCAATCTCCACCAAAATAACTCAATTCGAGGCCTTAACTTAAGTTTATTGATCCAGCTCAAATGCTTCTCCTCCCCAACATTTTCATATGATTTCTCCAATGCAAGAGTAGAAATAGAATTTCTCGAACACTTGAATAAAAGATCAAATTAATCTTTTTGTAAACCTTATTGCATAGGGAAAGACATAATTAAATCAACCAAATATTGTCCAAAAAACTACTTTAGCTAGGACTCATTCCAATTCCCATCCCTGATGAAACCCGTAAGATATTTAGTATCATCATTCATATTTGCAACATATGTAGGTCACTTCTCAATAATCTTATCCAAAATCCATGTATCTATTATAGTATTAATATCAGAATGTGTATAAATCTTCCATCTAACAATCAGATGAAGAAACTTCGCTCCATTCCAAATAATCTTCCACGTAGATGAAAAAATAGTTCTTACTTTTAGAATTCCAAATATCAATTCCATATTTTGAAACCAAGGCCATGTTAAGAAGAGAATTAGGCTTTGAAATAAAGGTCCAAGCAAATTTAGCCCTTAAAGGACCAACTTTCCCTATAGCAGATTGCAAACCATGTCCACCTCTCCTCTTTGATTTAAAAAAGACCCATGGAACATAATGGAGACCTTTATAATTATCATGCTTATGCTATAAAAAATTCCTACACATTTTATCAAAATCATTCATGAAAAGTCCATATAGGTTGTTAAACCTACGCAATTGTTCCAAGGCTAACCAAGAGTGAGGGTGAATTGGTTATTTTAAAAATATCATAAAATTTTAGAAGAAAACCATTTTATAATTTAAAACAATTTGATTTTCTTTAAAATATACTTTTCAACCAGAACAACAGATTTCAAAAAATAAAATGCAAAAATTAAAAGAACATAAAGATTTATAGTGGTTCAGTCCAACAAGACCTACATCCACTCCCTGAGGACTCCCTATTCAGATATGGCACAATTACCAAAGTGACTCTCTTTTTGCTCCCACAGAATACCGGATCTTCTCTCGATCAACTAAAAAGAAGAAAGGAAGAGAATTGACTTAAAAATAAAAGAGATTCTTACCATTGAGTAACCTTGTGAACCCTTCACACTCCACTTTCAAGAACTTTCTCTCAAACACTCTCCTAAATCACACATTCACTTGCTCTCTAAGAAATCATGAAGACTAGATTCATCCAAGTCAGTTTCGAAGGACTTTAATTTTAAAGACACGAAAAACCATCCAGAAAATAAAAAAATTTAATTTTGAGTGACCCTGATCATACAGTACGATCAATAATCGTACATATGAACAATTTAAAATTTGCTCGTACAAACTTGAATGAACCATTT